TAAAACGTTCGGACTATTTGTTAGACAAAAATTGACTCTCGTGTATTAATTAACAACCTCAATTCAATTCTGGTTTTGTGGTTCACACGTATACAATTAAGATTCATTATTTTATTTTTACCACATTTTACGCTTTTTATATTGTCATGAAATCTCTTATTTTTCCTTCTCAAATCTGTTACGTAAGTTTGACTGATAAGATTAACAAACACATATACAAGGACGATCAAATCTGCATGTAATTTATAAAAGGGTATAAAATACATCACTCATTGTCAGTACAAGAACAAAAAACAAAACAAATACCGTGGGCTTTTTTTTTAAATACTAGAAGTTTGAGTATGAAATGAATCTATATAATGGAATACTTCTGCAACAGATCTCTACCTATTACATAATCGAATAGATGCATTCAGAGATACACAACAGAGAAGAATGTTCTCTTTCTTGATCATTCAACAAATTAGTTATTTAATAAAACCTAGCAACATCTTACCATCCAAAAAATATATTTAATGAGGTATTTATAACTCTCTATATTATTGTGATTGACAATCACAATGTCGTTTTACGTGATTGGTACTTTACATCTAACAAAGAAACGAATATTGCTATTTGTGATTTGAAAACTCGTAATGTTGATTAACTATTGGTCGTGGTAATCAATATGACATTAATGGTACTCTTTCAATATTGTTTGTGTCTCTATCTCTAATAAGGCACTGGTTACTACATTTGTCGTCACTTCCACATTCTCAATAATTGTGTATTTTCTTAATTGATACATATAACAAAGAATTACTACTTACTATTAAGACTTTGTTACTCAGAAAAATCAGAGTGTTTCTCGTCCAAAGGAAATAACATAATATTTTCTTGAGTATTTATATGAAGCTATTCATGAAAAAAAAAACTAGGAATTAATAATCTTCGGTGGCCCTATGCAAGAAGATTTGGGAGATAAAGACATTGTTTGAGATTTGAACGATCTTTTTGTCGTGGACCATAATTTGATAAGAAAATTAGCCAAAAGCTTGAACCAATTAAAATGCAGAATTTTCCTCCAAGTAA